CCACTTTTCGGTCAATTGTTGACTCCCCCCCCCCTCCCACACACACGCACACACTTATGCATATGATCTTGGTTCAGCGATTTGCCATCGCGGTTTTCGAGCATCACAGTGAAGCCGCAGACAATGGACGCTGGCAAGTGGGACGGCCACTTGGGATGACGAGGACCAGGTCGTGGGGCAATAAGGGGCATGCATAAAGCAAAGGGGACTGAAAGAAACCACTGCAGCTGAAGACACTTCCGTGGATTCTGGGGAACAGCAGCCAAAGATCAGGACGTGAGACTCTTATGAGGATATGCAGATGTCGAGGAGTACCGAAGTATTACATTCACGAAGTTGAAATGAGTGGTGACCGAGTATTATAACGTACCACCTGGCCAGTTATACATAGCAACGCCGCCTCAGCTTACAAAGTTGCCATTTGAAATACATACAAAATGCACTCTCGTACTTCAGTAAGGGCTTACAACCCAACATGGATGCTGTAGTTCCTAAGTACAAATATTTCAGCTTCAAATACTGATCTGTATAAGGACTCCGGCAAGGGCACTGATATTGATATTCATTCGTTTTACCAGATGACATGGGTGAACTGGTGTGCAGGAACTGTGGTACTTGCTAGCTTGGCGATCTAAGTGAACATCGGGATGATTGAGAGAAAGGTAATGGTTTAAGATTAACGGAAACTGCAGAAATACTTCTGGCCATTCATGTTTACCCAATGAAGTAAAACGTTACTTGAGCTGACCATGGTTTTCCTTTGTCTATTTTCTATTTTTTCGTGCCTGGATCTCTTCTCTATCAATATGATTTTTAAGTCTTCAACTTATTATTATTTTAGTTCTTACAGTTTGCGCTTTCTTAAATGTTACACATCAAATCATATTCTATATTCGCCCTATCCACGAAATGCATTACAACATCACGAGTCTGTCCCATTCATATAGTAACGATACAACCAAATTTAAATGTACAAGACCAGGAGGTTCTTAAAATCGACCTTATGGAGTGGCTTACAGTTAAATATTTAGAAAAAAAAGAGTTCTACAGAAGCTTCTGGACGACCTTAGGATCTTGTGTAAATTTGGGAAGTCATTCCCGGCTAGTATAGGTTTCTTTATCTAAGTAGTAATCCATGTGTTACTTTACAATCTAATAACAAATCTGTGTCCTTTTTTGTCAGTGTCTATCAAACCTAATCAATTATGCTCTTGATATGCAAGTGAAGGATGTAAATTTTAATGGAGATTCATGGCACTGTCCCTCTATAGTCCACGCCCTATAGCGAGTGTAGATGCAAAACCAAACTGCCACACAGCTAACGCCACACTTCTCATCCCGACTACAATGACTATATTAGTTAAAATAATATTTAAACTGTCACCTCGAAAATCAAAAGTGCACAAAGCTTACATTATCATTAAACGCTAATGATGCTATTTATTTTTTCATCATCATTATTATTGTCACTATTATTCCAAAAAAACAAATACACAATCATGAATGTCGGTCGTAGTATCTCATCAATTCCCATTGCTGCAATCAAATTAGAAGCCCCATTCATTTTTGAAAACGAAAAATGCATAATAGCATTATACCTATCGTGTACCCATGCGCATGACTCGGTTCATTCTTTGAAATATACCATCATAGCAACTTTGTTTACTAAAAGCTTCGTTATACCGATAACAAAGAACTGTTTAACCAAGAAATAATAAATATGGATTCAAAGTACAGAGGGTATTATTCATGAAACCTTGTAACCTCGAAAACAAACAAGTTAAAACTGATAAGTTCAAATATGTTCCTGGGATCACCTCAAATGTAATACAATTTTTGTCCACTATCCTTTCTTTTTATCACATTATCAACAATATATTTTTTATTTACACCCTTAATACCCTTTCGTTACAGATACCTGACAGCATAAAAGTAACAAAGCAAAATAAATGTTCTAGACATCAGAGGTCACATAGCACTATAGAATGGTGTAGTAGTGAAAAGGGGAGAGTGGGGTTGGTTGATGAATAAATGTGATGCACGTCAAAAGTCGTATAGCTGTTGAGGATAGTATGGCACTGAAAGAGCCAAAGAGAGGTTAGGGCAAAGTGGGTGAGTAAATGGGCTAACACAGGGATTAACGAGGGTGATTTAATCAAATCTGTCAAAGGAAAAGGTATGGGATTCTACAAGGATGCCCGTTAGGGTAAGATGGGGCTTAGCAAAAGAGAAGCGGGGTTTAGGAGTAATTAGGTCAGTTTCAAGACATTTGTGACAAGGAGTCACAAATGTAACCAGGGGGAAGCGGAAGGGATAATGTTGAAGGCAAGGGGAAATGGGATGTTGTTAGTGAGAACATGAATAGGAGGATGGATGTCGGTAGCTAATTGTAGTGCAGTTGGAATAAACGATGGTTAAGGTGTAGACATGTTATCTTGGGTCATGATTAGATAATTTTGGCTATATTTGAGAGTTTCTGAAGTGGATTGGGGAGGTCTGAGAAATAAAGGTTTTCTTATGAGGGGGGGAAGAGGAAATAGGCGTCTGAGGGTAGAGGGGTGTGGTAGGAGAAAATGGGGTGAAACGTTTAAAAAAGACTGCTACGGATAAAGTGAGTAGGGAAAGGGGTAGGTGTCGGGGTAGTGTTTGAGATTGGGGTGTCTGGAAAAAGAATTGGAGAGTGAGAGAAAGAAAAGAAAGAAAAAATGGGAGAGGGAGACAGTAAAAGTGGAAACGTAAGATGTAGGAGGAATAGACACAGGGATAGGGGTGGAGTGAAGGGCAGCACTGGGGCAGGAAGTAAGGGAAACACCTCGTGCATTTGACCGATTGTGACTAGGTTGGGAACAAAAAGGGCATCGGACTGTGGAGCAATAGTGTTTGCCAGGGTGCTCTAGACGCAAACAGTTCTAACATTGATGGGGGGGGCCCCAATATCAATATTGATTTAAAGCGACACAGCACACTGATTTGGACCCGGCCCAGAGACGCAAACAGTGATGGGGGGGGGTAATCCCGTCAATATTAGCAATATTTGATGGACTTAAAGCGACCTCTAGGGGAAATAGTACAGCACTGTACTGATATTGTATCACGGTCTCCGAGGCAGGCGAGTGTCATCTCCACAGTCTGACCAATCCTCATCGTAGACAGGGTAGTTTGTAGGGGAAATGGAAACAGTTCCGGTTCTAGTAATGAGGGAGGGGTGAGGCTGGACAGTAATGGGTTTACCTAGTGAATGTCAGGGGATAATGCTTAAGCTTGGGATACGGATGTAACTGTGACAGCTGGAACGATCGGGCCCGGCGGCCGCAGAAGGAAACTTTGCCTACTTGTTTTTGGAGGCAAAGTGTTGTCAGAGTTGAGATCACAAAAAATCGATCCCATTTGGTTGGGCTAAAAAGAGGACTCAAAGAGATGTGCACAAGTGAGGGTAGAAGAGGGATTGGCGTTGAGTGAAGTAGCAGAGGTGGACAATATGGCTGCATAGTAATAAGGGAGGAAGGGGTAGTATATGCTGAAAGCTGTGGGGATGGAGAAGATTAAGTAGAGGATATTGGGAGAGGAAGAATGTTTCCTGAAGGTATTGGTTGTGTTCAGTGTCGTGGTCAAAGGAGAGCCTGGGGTTTGGGACCGGGGGAATTAAAATCAGTGGGGCTTGTTGATAAAAGGCAAGCATCACTGCCCTTTGTAGAGGAACAAAATTTTCATTTAAGGAGAAATGGTCCACCCCTCAGGGTCCCCTCGAGGGGGTAAGGGGTAGACAATCAAACAGGAATAACATAGCTATGGCTCCCTTAAGCCATTCACGACTGACAAAGTCAGCCTTCATTCTTTCAATACAGCTTTCACATCTCTCGCATAGGAAGTGGATAATTTAAGAGGTTGGAGAAGAGAAGGAAAATGTGAGGGGCTGAGACCCAAGGTAGGGGTGATCCCTGGCATTGGGCCTAAATTTCTGCCTCCTAAGCCCCTCCCCCTACAACAACGGGTAAGGGATTGGGGGGAGGGAGCTGCATACAAATGACCAGTAAATTACTTATGTATTAACGTGGTGATTTACCTTAGTTATGTGTAATATGTTTCAATCTGGTCAAAATTCAATTATAACAACAGGCAACAATATTGTTCAAGATGATGTTGACTTTTTTCTGGTGTAATTGGAAACTTTATAACTGACGTGTGTGCAATGCTGTATTCATTTGGCCACAGGAGTTTGCAACGATTGTTTTCTGCCTAATAGGCTGGTAACAATGTGTGGGATAAGTCACCTTAATGTTAGTAGGCACCCATCCACTCAGCAGTCCAGGGTATTCTGATGTGTTCGTTGTTTCACCTTCATTCAAACTCCTTTGTCAACTCCTGTGTTCAAGTGTACATTTCAATGAGTAAGTCAAATAGCAAAATGGAAAGTTTTAGGTTTATGTGAAGTTACTGTATAGTAGATGTGTGAAGTAAGGATTATATTTTCTTGTTTGCTCCCTTTATCTGTAAGGTTGGAGATTTTCACTGCTTCTTGATGAAGCAAACAATCACAAAATGTTAAAAGTAGGCAAAAGTCATATTTCACACTTATTCAAAACACATGTCTTCTATACAGGTCACTGATCCTTTTTGTCTTTAATTTTTCTCTTATGCCCTCAAGTCATGCACATTCCTCCTTTGTGCAATTGCATTATCCCAAACCAATTATCAAAACAAAATTGTAAATGATATTTAGGACTGATAATTTACATGATGAATTTTGCTTATCATTTGAAGAGGAACAGCATCCATGATATATAGTGCAGTATAGAACAGATCTTTCAATACAATGAACATATGAGGCCAGGTTGTGATACAGATTATATAAAAAATTATAAGTACCAAAATTGTTGTGAACATCAAAGATGTCAAGTGCAGCTTCAGTATCTTACATTGTTGTATCTATAACACTACTGTTGCAAAACCAATATTTTCTCCTACTAATTTGTCATGGCTTTAAGTACAAATACACGATACAGATTTCCTTTTTATCTCTGTTTTGTACAATATGCCAGCTCCAATTGTGCCCCTCTCAGGCTCACAAGAATGAAGCAATACCAGCTATGTTCACTGAAGGCAGTGCAGCTTATTACATTTATTACAATAAACCTTGTAAAGTTGTATAGGGTCATGATTCAATGCTATAATGATCATCATAACATTATTACAATTTCTTTAACAGTGCTATGAATAGTTTCTGAACTTGAGGGAATATGCAATTGAAGTTATGGTGCTTTGTTTGAGACATATTCCCTAATTCCTCACCAGGTTCCCGATGTTTCATCTTGTGTGACATACCTGAATGTTAATATTATTTTGGGCTTGGACATACCCCTGAGTAATGGAAGGTCATTTCAAACTTAACAAACATCCAATAGATACCATTAAGACCAAAACAATGTTCTTCAAATATGGTTTTACCTTTCATGCTCATCATTTAGACATATACGCAAAAGCACACTATAATAAATTGTATGATATCAAAATAACTGATGGTCACTGATGTTACAAGATTAAATTTCATAAGTACCATTGCTCATGATTTTGTGTGACAACACTTTACATCCTCCTTAGAACATTCTCTTATACTTAAAAAGGAATTTAAAGAAAAAACAAGTATTACAAAGTCTATCTATGTATTGTAGAGGGCTGAATGAATGAATGAACTAAGTACAGAACAGAAATAATTATCTTATTAATACAAAATTAATGACAGTGTCTCTGGTTGTTTTCATTTCTTTTATTTCTTTGTTAATTCCATCCATCACAACTCCTCCTCTTCAGATTTGAGGTTTGGGTCTCTGTATCATACATGACCCATCGAAGGATAAATTTTTAGGACAGGTATGGGCACCACAGCTGCTATACACTTTATCGGGATTTACATTTACTATAAAAATACCTATCGTCACTTGAATTTGTCGAGATTCCTACTCTAGAAAAGTAAATTATGCAATTGTAGACTAGAGTAAATATTTAAAGTCATTGTACGAGAAGTAATTCGTCATTTACTGTGTTTAAAACAAATACCTTGGAATATAGCAGCATGTAAACCCATAGCAGGACATAGAAATGTAATTATCATATCCAACAAGTAAAAAAATAAAAAATAAAACAAACAAAAATGTAGAATAATGTTGAAGTGATATTCATCCCTATGTCAATTGACATTACATTTCCCAAAGACAAGGGATTCTCAATGTCCTGGCTGACCAATAACAAATTCCATACCATCACAGATGAAAAAAGGAAGAGAGAAAAAGAAAGAAAGAAAGAAAGAGAAAAAAAAGAAAAAAAAGAAAAAAGAAAGAAAAAAAGAGAGAGGAAAGTTAAACATCAGTGAAAGAAAAATTATAAATTACAATCTCTGCTTAACAAGTAAATTATTTTAAGTCTGATTTAGGTTGCAGAAACATAATAAATAACTTTAAATCAAAGAAAAAAAAAGCTAAATAATACAGAAATTATGAGTAAGGATCAAATCACTGAAACAAGAGATTAAAGGTGAGAAAGTGAGTGGAAAAAAAATAATGGCAGTAAATCCTGGAACTGAGGTGTGCTGGATTGAGGGGGCGGCTGGGGGGACACTGGAAGTACAGACTACAGTAAAAAGATGGATTGTAATGGAGACGCTTGACTGACCCTCGGCAGCACACTTTTATTTCTTCCCTGCCAGTGCGCATCCATTTTGCTGTCTTGCTTTGCAAATTGCAGCTGTCAAAGGGTCATTTCTGGAACCTGGGGGTGCATGTTGCATGTGATCATGACACAGCATTGGTGGAAGTTTCATACCCAGTCAAATTATTGTAAAAAAGTAAATAAATAAAAGAGAGAGAGATAGAGACAGAGAAAGAAAAAAAAAAAAATGATACTGGTGCAGTAATTGTTCAACTGGACAAAATACAAATTACACAGGTTATCACTAATATCACTACGAATCACTGAAAATTTCATGATGAACATGCGGCAACCATATGTACACAAAAGAGTCTGAATAAAAAATAGTATGGGTGGTGGTTGAAGTTATTCTTATCTTTCACTTTGAACTTTGGGTGGTGGTTCCAGGGAACATCTGGCACCTTGAGTGCCAACCTATATCCATTCCATCTCCTTCCTACTCACAGCATCTCTTCTTGTCATTTTATTTTTTGTTTGTTTGTTTTTGTATATTTTTACAATTACTTTTGTCAATAATGGATTAATCACTCATCACTCATACAAACCAACCCTCTTTTTTTTTTAACAATCTTGGGAATTCCACAGTACTTCTATAACAATGTTCTTCATCATTCTTATCATCATCCGTTACCTCATTAATCCTGTCAGATCAGATCATTAGAAAAGCCCCATCTTGGATGTTGCTTCTCCTCAGGTACTCCTCACAGATTCACACCATAACTACACAAGAGTCACCCTATGGAACTAGTCTGCAGATCAACCAGCTTGCACAAGCCCTCTCTGTGTTTTAAGCTTCACTCACACAAAATTCCTCTCACTTAGCATTAAGAGGTTTTGAACTTTGATTCTTCCGTCTTCAAGACTTCCTTGTTGCTTTACCCCCGAGGCTCAAGGAATATAAAGGTAATTGTAGCAAACTCCAAACTCCTCGGGTCAATTAATAAACATTTTATTTAATGAAGATAAATCATTTGGCCCTAAAAAAGGCTTTTGAAATAATAATTGGTATCCAGTTACAGGCAGTGCTCCTAGTCCCCTATCTGGGTGGTAACACTGGCTTGGGGGGACCACCACTGTGCCACTCAGTTTCTGTTAACGGTACGTACTGGATTCTAACGCACATTTGGGGTGTGAGAGAGAGAGAGAGAGAGAAGAGAGAGTCTGGCCGTCCTCTCCTGGAATTAAAAAGTCCTCCACAACAACACTTTGCCTATCAAGCCAAAACGGCAGCAGTCCGACATGCTGCTTTGGGTGTCCGGCTTGCACACACAAACACGCTCAAGTCACTGTTGGGGCACACGGTCATTGAAAACAAGCCACTTTTGGGGGGGACGTCCATAGAGGAATCCCACGCGCACTCCAGCAGGGAATGTGTTGTCGTTCTCTTAGCTCATCGGCGCAGAGGGTTTGGGTTGGGGCGGGGTTGTGTCCTCGTCCTGGCTGGATCAGTCGCTCGTAAGATGTGTGAAGGGGGTGATGGGGGTTGGCGTGGGGGTGGGGGTTGGTGTGGTTGTGGGGGTTGGGGTGGATGGCGATGGCTCCTTCTCTACGATCTTCTTCCAGGGTCTTCGGGCTGCCCGCTTCAGGTCGTTCGTAGTTAAACTTCTACGCAATTTTCTGTTGAAAGAGAAAGATCCATTAGATAGACATCTCACATGTAGGTAGGTAGACAGATAAGTAGTGTGTGTGTGTGTGTGTGTGTGTGTGTGTGTGTGTGTGTGTGTGTGTGTGTGTGTGTGTGTGTGTGTGTGTGTGTGTGTGTGTGTGTGTGTGCTCACGCGTGGGTGCATGTGCATGTGACTTAGATATTAGTAGAATATCTACAATAAACATCAGAATATGTCCTTAAATAGTACTATTACTAAATAACTATTCATATGTTGGCATTCTGGAATTCACCAAGTCAAAAAGAGAAAAGAAGAAGAAGAAAAAGAAGGAAGAAATCAAGTCATAAATAAACATACTTTATTCATATATATTGTTCTTTTTCCTTTCAATTCTTATTTAACCCAGTGCCGACAGGTAAGAATGTTTAGCAAGTGGACATAAAAATGGGACTGTTAGCGCGCATAGGCAGTTTCCCTGGCTTGCGCCAGGCTCCATCGGTAGTTTGTGAGCGACATTTGGCACCGAAAAGCTTTTATTTTCCTAAAATATATAAAAATGTTATAATTTAGAAGGTTTACCTTCACTATAGATACCATTGCCTAAAATCTTTACTATATAAATGAAGCCACTACTATCAGAGAAAAACAAACTCTGTCCGATAAGCCAGTGGCGCAGGAATGAGCATGATGCGATGCCATCTGTGTTTTGGTCCACAACAGCCATGGCATGTACGTACATGCCACCCATCAGCTACGGGTTAATAAGCTTATATGTAGGCAATTATATTTTCATCTTTCACTGTTGTATCATAGAGCTTATCGTAAATAATGACAGAAAATCGTTTCACTTTAAACAAATTTAATTAATGTGTTCACTTGGTTTCTTTGAAAAAGAATCATGTAATTATCCACTACACTGTAGAATATTTCCACAGCAAAGGAAACTTTCCTTAGCCTCTTTCAGATACTTCCTGTGAATAATGAAGAACATTTGTAAATGTAAAAAAAAATCCTCTATAAAATCTATCATCTACGCATTCATCGAGAGAAAATCACCCAATTACAGAAAAGAAAAAACTACATGTTGTGCATCATACAACAGAAAACAGAGAGAGAGAGAGAGAGAGAGAGAGAGAGAGAGAGAGAGAGAGAGAGAGAGAGAGAGAGAGAGAGAGAGAGAGAGAGAGAGAGAGAGAGAGAGAGAGAGAGAGAGAGAGAGAGAGGAGGGGGGGGGAGGGAGGGAGGGAGGAGGGAGGGAGAGAGAGAGAGAGAGAGAGAGAGAGAGAGAGAGAGAGAGAGAGAGAGAGAGAGAGAGAGAGAGAGAGAGAGAGAGAGAGAGAGAGAGAGAGAGAGAGGGGGGAGGAAGGAAGGAAGGAGGGAGGGAGGGGAGAGAGAGGAAGGTGGAGTGAGAGAAAGATGGTAAGAGGCAAAAAGGTGGTGGTTACGGCAAAAATTCTAAGATTTTATAATTAAAATACACTTTTCTATGTTTCCTGTCGTCTCCTAATATAATGCAGTTAAGTTATCTCTCAACACATCCCACAAAGCGCAACAGTTCCCCCACAAAAAAAACATCAAAAATTAGCTCAGAAACCATGTTCATCTTTTGAAAGAGAGAAGAGAGACAGAGAGAAGAGAGAAGAGAGAAAGAGAGAGAAGAGAGAGAGAGAGAGAGAGAGAGAGAGAGAGAGAGAGAGAGAGAGAGAGAGAGAGAGAGAGAGAGAGAGAGAGAGAGAGAGAGAGAGAGAGAGAGGGGGGGGGGGGGGGATAGCAATACATGTAGAGATATAAAATGCTCTTGTTAAAGGTTTTACACAGAGAGGAGTTAAGCATGAGAAAATAAAAAAGGAAGAAAGGAAGGAAGGGAGGAGGAAAGAGAGCAAAAAAGAGGGAAATAAATAAAGACACCAGCCAAGCTCAGCCTGTGCACCACACACAAAACACATACTTGGTAGACTCTGTGGCGTAGAAGTACACATCATCAGGGGCATCCATCCAAGAGATGATCCGGGGGCGGCCTCCCACCCTCGACACTGTTGCTATCTTGGCCCGCCCAGGGGTGTTCGGGGTGCCCAGGTTGGGGACCCCCGCCATCAGGGGTGGAGGCGTCGGGACCACTGGCGGAGTCAAGCCTGGACTCCCGTTCACCCCCACCGGTGTGACCGTCAAGCCCGGGGGTGGGTTCACCCCCAGCTGGTTCAGGCGCAAGGAGTCCAGTGCCTCCATCTCCTTTAACCGCTTTGGTGGCTGGAGTCCTGGGAAAGAGGATGGGGCTCATACTGGTCACAGTTGTTAAACTACTGCACCAGGCTCACTGCTTTTACAGCGCTCACGGTTGACACGCAAGTATTTACCTGACCTCACAAGCAGTTTAGTCAACAGTTGGCATGGCCCCATAATTTTGTCCTCTGGTAGGTGATGTCCCAAATACGATATGTTTAGGAAATCTCTGAACCCTCCCATTGTCTATTTACAGTAAATCAGTGCTCCCTGATCACACAGAAGTGAACTAACCCAAAATTTGTACCTCTTACAATGCCTCCCTGATCGTTCTAAAATCCTTCCTCACCAGTTACTTCCTTTCCTGAATCTATGTCACTAGCATCCCCACCTCAAATATTTGAATCCTCCCACATCTTTACTTTCCCTCATTCATCATTTTTAAGTTATTATCCAAACACTTACAATTTCCATTCTATACACCTATTATTAATGAAAAACAAAAATTAAGGAACCACTTTCATAACAGAATATCAAGAAACTAATCTTTTAGCAGTCTACTACTAAAAATGCAGAACTTTTCCTCACCTGAAGTTTAAACCCTTTGTGCCTACAATAGGGTGGAGCAGTATTAGCAGTTTCTATGACCTCTTCTTATTATTTTTTAATGATAATTATAATGATAATGATGATCACGATCATATTATTATTACTATTATTTTTATTATCATTATTAACAATATTAAGAGGATCTTTGAGTTTATTTTCATGTGTCCTAGCCAGTTTGAAGAGAACTTTAAGAATATAAAAATGAATTATATCTCCAATACAACTTTATTTTATACATAACTATTGGTTGGAATAGTACAAAGTAAAGGTAAAAACACAGGCATGCAAATGCAAAATTTCTGATGTACACAAGGTACCTGGAGGAGGATTAGGACAGAAACACTGTCTCAGGAATTAACCCTTATGATCCGGATGAAGTGACTATCACATCATTAAAAAATTTGGCTTGAGAGGCACATGTTGTGAACATGCCGTCATTGGAAAACTTGGCAGTGGGCCCACAGCTTGCCATTGAGAATTTCGGCTGAAGGCCAAGGTGGCAGGGATGATTCCCCAAGAGTGCACAAAGCTCTTGGAAGGTGATTAGACTCCATCCATGAGCTGTGATTGGAAAATGGTAAGAGTGGTAAGAGTGGCTGCTAAAATAAGCCTCATGCCCAAATTTTGGGCCACTTGTGGGCAATAAAGCATCTGGATCCAAGGGGTTAAGGTATGTTCACTTGACTTGCCAAGTATTCCCAATCATTTTTATAAGTGTTCTTTGCTCCACCCTATCCTACATTCCACAATTTTCATTGTATAAATTTTCTTCTTCTTTTGAATGACCTCTTCAAACTAAAAGCCAAGCAGGTTTAAGGACAAATTTCTTTTCATATCTTTACAACAATACCCTTGTTTTTATACTATCAAAAAGCCCAATTACCTATTTGTAATACCACCCTTTTACCAAATTCTGTATCAAACTGTGTGATGAGCCCATTAGGGAAATACAGGCATAAACTTAAGATCAACCTCTGTTTCTAGTAATAAGACAAAAGCATTACTTGAAATACTATGCAGATAATATATATATATATTCAAACAAGTGATATATATTCTTAAAAATAAATAAATAAATAAATAAAATAATGGTGAAATATATTTAATAGGGCAAAGAATGTGAAAAAATAACAGAAAAACAAAATCTAAAACTGGCCTTACTAAAACCAAGACTATAACGGTAAACATTAGGTACCAGCTGCTGCTGCTGCATTTTTTTTCCTTTCCTTTTCGTTTATAGCCATGATATGTAAGTAACTGATATTTCTAAGCCAATCTCACAAGTGAGTGTTAGTGGGCCTGTGCATGTCTGTAACTGTTAGACATGTGTATATCTACCATAATCAGCTTGTATTTCTGCTTACAGCAGGAATGGAACCAATCCCACCATTTCTTGCTTACACTGCTACTTTGAAAACCATCAGTCTAGTCCTATGAACAAATAACCGAAGGAATGGAGTTTTCATCTTTTTTATTTGACTTTTGCTACTTTTTATGTCTCTCTAGCTCAGGGGTTCCCAACATGGGGGTCATGAAGCAATAGGAAAATTTTGTCTTCAAATTAAACTAAATCTTAACTCACCTACAATACCCATATTTAGCTAATGACACCATTAAATTATTCATAAGTAATAACTGAATCTCAAAAGATGACAGTCACTGAATGAAGCCATGGAGATTATTAGAGTGAAAAAGGTTGGGAACCACTACTCTAGTTTTTCTTAGAAAAGAGTGAATAGCCTTTCAGTTTATCATGTTTCTTTCATCTTATGATTTTCAATACCCCTTTGTTTGTCAATTGACAGTCTATTTTTTCTTGTTCCTTTACATTATATTTCTTCAGGCATATGTCAATACATTAAATATGTGCATACATATACGTATATCTTAACTCAATGGTGACGGGATTTCTGCACACCGAACTGAGCCATGTACCAGGGATAGGGCATAGTCTGCCACGCAAGCAAAAAAGCAAAAGTATGGGGAGCATATATTCACATTACTGTGGATAGTTGGCTGCAGTATACACAATTATCCATTAAAACAAACATTTGAGGGGATGTAGCTCCTGAACTACTGTGCTTAGAGCCAAACAAGCTAACAACTTTTTTGGCATACCACTTATAGCTGACTGATTGCCCATGGCATGTATCCTTGCTAACCAGCATTTGGCTTTAGCTTCTTGTAGCAAGAATGGATGCACAGTGTCAATAATGGGTAATCATTTTCTTTTAAAAAACAACAATTCAAAATGTTTAAGTCCTCAACAATTGGACTGGAAATTTCTGACATTATCACTATGCAACAAATAAAATTTTCTGGCTGAATTTGTGCTGATAACAACTGGCCTGGCCACTTGCTCAGGAGTGCGAAGCAAGATGCCTCATGACATAATACCCAAATAGGTCATGATGGCTATAGCCGTACCCATCACACTGTAGAGTTAAATCTATGGATGGATGAGTACCCATCAGCTCAGTCCAGTGTGCAATTTCCAAGAGAAACAAATTTCACCGAAAACAAATAGATTCAAAGAATCTCTAGGCATAGTAACTGCATTTTTATTCACTTCGTTACAGAACTTATACCACACAATAGGGGTGTAAGTGACCATGACCAAACCTTGGCCAGCTTTAATTCTGGTCTCAAGATACCTTTACCAGACTGGAAGTTCTTCCTAACACCACTCAAAGAGCCTTACACAGTCATGGGTGCAGAGGGCGACAGTGGACTTCTAGCCTTTAGTCCTGAGATGGAAAATGGTTGATGATGGGAAGCGTATTCAGTCCGGCAAGGGTGCCAAAACAACATCCAGCAAGGAATATCTAATTCTTTTGCTTACCAGAAAACTTATCTCAATATATGGCTGCATCTCCACTGATATTTTTCTTTAGTAAATTGCTAGACTGGTTATACAATAACATGAAGAAATAAGAGCAAAGGGATCAGAGTTAATGGATAAAAATGAAGTTGTAAGAAAGAATGTGAAAAGAAAAGGAAAGAAAAGAAAAAAAGAGAAAGAATAACACATTTCTCCTGAAAACTTTACCAATCTTAATGCGGCAGTGACCTTACAGTATCATAAGAGGAAGAATCTGTCCTTTTACAGAAAAATGCTGGTACCATTACAAATAAGAATTGATTTAAGAAAATAAATAAAAACAAAAATAAAGAGGCCAGGCTGCCAATAAGTTAACAACTAAACATCAAAACAAATAAAAGACGTAAACTCACCCACCTTCTTCCAATTCGCCCTCTAGAATGGGAAAATTCCAATAATTACAACCCTTGAATTATGGACTAACTTAAATGTTACTATTACTATATTATTCTACACTTTCAATACGCAATACCCCATTTCTCTTTTTGCTCTTTATACACCAACACCACTATCTACTGCAAGACAAAATCACACAAAGAACAGCACTAATCATTCCCTTTGAAAGATAAGGCTTGTGTAAAGTCAACTACAAAAGTCAAAGATTCTCAGAGGGAGAAAAGCCAATTACAAAACAAAATATTATCATGTTCTTTTACCAATGATTGAAAGATGCCAGCTTGAAGCTCTTTCAAAAAACATATGTA